CTCAGGCAGTCCCATCTTCGCGCCGTGCGTGCGCGTCGTCTCACGAGGCGGCGCCCTTGCCTGCTCGACCTCGCGGTCCCGGATGCCGAGGCTGGCGCCTCGCCGGAGGCATGTGCCCACAGGCTGCCCCCCCGAGAGCCAGAGGCGCCCGGGCCACCCCCCCAGCGAGCGAGCCGCTCGAGACGTCGACCACCGGGCCTCTGAGCTGGGCCGCCGGGACCAGCGGCTCGCTCGAGGCAGTGGCCCCAGGATTTTTTTTTTTTTTTTTTTTTTTTTGTTTAATGTTTTTTTGTTCCAAATAGTTCTTTGGCCCCAAACATTCTTCGGGCCAAAAAAAGATCTTTGGTCTCAAAGAGAAGGGAACAACAAGTGGCACAAGCATAAAACAACTCGGAGGTCCGCGCGGATGTCTCGGATCGGCGCTGGGGCCACGTCACCTTTTGCTCCCCTAAAACAATCACGGGACCAAAAAGGAACGAAAATCATTGGTCGCGCCGACGGCGCCGGGCAGGAGCAGATACCCAGCAGCGGCCCATCGATAACATCAGCCCAACAAATATGCAGACGACCTGCAGTGGCTGCCGGCGGCCGGGCCCACGGAGTGGCGGTCATCACGTGAGGCCCGCCTGCGTGTTAAGTCGGGCTTGTCCCACCACAGGAGGAGTTTTCAAAGACAGTCAAACAGTAGTCTGGGGGCGATGTGTGGAGCACCTTTTGGCAATTTCGGGGTATTGTTTCGACTATCTTTTATCTTTCGTCCTAAAGTCCCCCTGTAGGGGGGGGCAGGCCCGAGTTAGGCCTACGTGTCACAATTTTTGAGGCCACGGCCTTCCCGCCATGCCTTCATGGGCAAGCGCGGGCTCCCCAGTGGAGCGCGCACGACTCCGGCGTTCGCTTCGCTTCGCTTCTGGGAGCAGGGGAGGTCTGGGACACCTGGCGGGAGAACCGTTCAAGACACATGCCCACAGTCTGGCCGCGAGTGGGCGAGTGTCCTGCCCCCCAGGCGGCTCCCCTCTTCGGGGGGGCTGAGGCCAGCGCCTCGCTCGAGGCGTCCTCGGCATCCGCTCCCCAGCGGCCTGGGATGCTGAAGCCAGCACTGCGGACATCCTCACAATCTGCTCTCGGGTGGCTCTCCCTTGGAGTGCTGAAGCCAGCGCCGCCCTGACGACACCCCCGACATGCTGTTTTGAAAGCGGAGAAGTCGGCGACCCAGAGCAGGCTCACCGCTTGAGACATCTCAACAATCTGGGCGCGAGGCGATCCAGGCGGCTCCCCCTTGGGGTGCTGAAACCAGCGCCTCACTTGAGACAGCCTTGCAATCTGCTCTGCAAGCAGAGGAGTCTGGGCCACCAAGCAGGCTAATCGCCAGAGACATCCCCACAACCTGCTTTGACAACAGAAGAGCCTGGGCCGCCAGACAAGCACATCGCCCGAGGCTTCCTCGCAACCTGCTCTGAAAGCACTCGAACACGGCCAAGTCCAAGCGACCCGGCAGGCACACCACCCGAGACGTCCCCTGACACCTGGCCCGTGCAGCCACCCCTGCCAGCCTCCCCCGTTTGGGTGCTGAAGCCAGCGCCTTCTTCCTGAGACGGCAGGGCTGGACTTGAGCGCTGTTCTGCTGGACTTCGGCTGCGTCTTGCTTGTTCGCTCTTGGCAGGGAGGTGCAGGACAACGGGCGGAGCAGAACGAAAAGCGAAGCGGAGGCAAAACGAACAGCAGCGTTTAGGGCCAGCCCTGTGGAGCATCTTCGCGCTCTCTCGCGAAAGCAGCGAAGTCCCCGCCACCGAACGGGCAAGCCGCCCGAGACGCCCCCACCATGTGGGCGCCAGCGGGCCCGTGCAGGGACCCCTGGCAGGCTCCCCCCTGGGGTGCTGAAGCCAGCGCCTTTCCCTGAGGCATCCTCTCTTTTCTCTTCTCCCTCCGGAGGGGAGGGGAGGGGGGAGGGAGAGAAGAGGAGGAAGAGGACGAATAGGAGGAATAAGAGGAGGAGGAGAAGGAGGAGGATAAGGAGACGGAGGAGGACGACCAGGGAAAGGATGAGGGAGAGTGGGAGGAGAAGCAGCAGGAGCAGGAGCAGGAGGCATTGGAGGCTTCGTCAGCACGACCGTTCAGCCACCAGGAGCCCAGGAGGAACGTGGAGGCATGTGGAGAAGCAGATAGGAGGCCGGCGGGTGCAGGAGCGCTGAGGCCTCCCTTTGGACGTCCAGTCCCGCCCTCCCTCCCCCCTACTGGCCAAGGGAAGCAACAGCACCCAGACGCGACAATTGGCGCTTGCTAGGTGGCCGTGGGCGTTCACGAAACAGCCCTGCCCTGTTCGATTCCCCCTGTGGGTGCGCTGACGAAACGGCCTTGCGTGTCGGGGTGGTCATTCCAGGGGTGGGTTTTTTTTTCCCTCTGTCTGTTTGGGCATCCAGTCCCTTTGGGCGCCCAGTCCCGTCCCCGTGGGGCGTCCGCCGCCCAGGTTCTGCGCGACCTTCTACTTCTGGTGCCGGTCCGTGCGCACGCCGCGGTCCTGGCCCTGGGCCGTGCTGGGAGCGCCGGACGTCGTCATCGTCGTTGTCGTCGTCGTTGCCTTCGTCGTCGTCGTCCTCGTCGTCGTCGTCGTGGCTCGTCGTGCCTTGTTGTGGCTCGTCGTCGTCGTCGCCGCCGCCGACGTCGTCGTCGTCGTCGTCGCCGTCGCCGCCGTCGTCGTCGTCGTCTTCGTCGACCTCGAAACATATCTTCGGCGGATTTGGACTGCCTTCTGATGTTTCTGTTGCGTCTGTTGTTCCTAGGGTGAGGGTATGTTTCGACTGGTTGTCTGATGTTTGCGTGTCGTCGTCCTGGTCACTGGGGCTGCCGGTGCCAGCGCCGTCGTCGTTGTTGCCGCGGTAGATGTCGTCGTGTCCAACGTCGTCGTCATCGACGGTCGAGGTTTTGGATGGTTTCGCACATGGTTTGAACCACTGGAAGGCTCTTGTCGCCATAGATGGATTCGCCTCGGAATGCTGATCGGAACGAGCCACCTTGGAGTCGGTGGGGCGGTCGTTGTCGTCGACGTCGCTGATAGGACCTATAGGATGCGATTTCCACTGCGGGGATGTTGCAGAAAATATCGACGGGTGCAGGATCCATTGGATCGTTCGGACTGGAAGTTTCAGAGGGCAACGTTATGATCATTGTCAGAGCCTCACGGGTCTGGATGTTGCAAAGGCTTTACGGTCGATGCCGCCCAAACTGCACCGTTCTACAACTTAGAGGGTGTTTTTGTTACCATCTAGGCCATAACGCGCGTTATGTCCCCCACCCTCCCCCCCCCACATCGCAACGCTACCCCCCCCCTCAGTGCGTCCCCAGCAGTGCCGCAGTGCGTCCGGCACCACAGTCTGGGGGGGGGGGCGCTACGTTATGCCCCCTCCCGTCCCCCCCCCTCGCCCCCCTATAGCGCTTGTTGTGGCCGCGAATGAGGCATGCGCTCTTATGACGTCCGCTCTTGCACTTGCCTTTGTCTTTCTCCGCCAGAGCCGCCGACACCAAGAAGAAGCGAGCAGGTTGGGCGCGGGGCACGAGGGCAAAGGGCCGCAGTATCTTTACCATGCGCAGAGAGACGGTCCTCGGCACGACGACGACGACGACGAGCTACGACGACGATGACGACGACGAGCCACGACGAGCCACGACAACAACGACGTCGACGAGCCACGACGACGACGACGACGAGCCACGACGAGCAACGACGACGACGATGACGACGACGACGACGAGCCACGACGAGCAACGACGAGCCACGACGACGACGAGCCACGACGCGCCACGACCACGACGAGCAACGACGACGACGACGATGGCGACGACGACGACGACGACGATGGCGACGACGGCGACGACGACGACGACGAGGCACGACGACTTCGACGGCCCTTCCCGCATCTGCGTCTGGGTCGTGTTCCAGAGGCCTCATGGGCGCATGGTGGGGGATCCTGGGGGGGGTTCCTCAGGGGGCCCCTGGGGCCTCCGTTTCCCACCTGGGTGCGTCGTGGGGACTCCTGTTGGCCTAGCGGGGCTCCTGGGATCGATGGTCGGCTTCCAGCGGAGCGACGGCGGCGTGCTTTTTGTGTCCCTCTCGGGTCAGTCTTGGGGGCTGGTTAGGTTCCTCTGGGGCCTCTTGCGCCATCTTGGGAGGGTCTTGGAGGGTGCTTGAGCCGTCTTGGACGCTCTTGTGACCAATGCGGCGAGAATGTCAAGACACCACCAAAGGTCAAATGGTTCAGCCGATTTGGCCTCCTTGGGCCAGCCCCCGGGACCTCCAAGACGGCACGCGAGGACACCCTGGGATCCACCTGGCGCCCCCCCTACCCCGGCGGGCAAGGGATGAAAGGGAAGGGGGATCCCTACGACTCGATTGCGAATTGGATCGGTTCCTCTCGGGCTGGCGAGCTTAGAGATGCCAAGGTTGCCGCAGGGAGAGGGGAGAGAGCTTCGAATGCAACAGCGTCTCTAAGGATCACCCTGGGACGACCACCCCGGGGCTCCCCCTCACACACGCTGACAGGGTCGTCGGATTTGCATTGCCTGACGTTTTCGTGGTAGGCCGTCCTTGCAGGAGCCCTTTTCTACTACTTCTCCGTGGCTACATGGGGAGGCTACATCTTCGTCAACAACCTCATCGCCCTTCACGCCGCGGTGATCGTCGCGATGGGCAGGTACGATTCCGGCGTCCACCGCGCGTACACAATATGGTACGTGTTTGGCACCTTTGGGGCCACTTTCGTGCCGCCAGTGGGGTATGCGCCCGTGAAGTCCCTGGAGCAGGCACCAGCTGCGCTTGTTTTTCTAGTGTACCAGTTCTTGGAGTCCTGCGACATTTACAGGCGCCGCCAGAAAAAGGAAATGAAGGACTGGGAGTTCTTCTTCTTCCGTGTTAGAGTCTTCGGCAGCATGTTTGCAGCTTTCTTAGCGGTTTGCTTTGTGTTGGGTCAGATGAACTATTTCTCGCCCATGTCATCTCGCATTCGCGGATTGTTCCTGAAGCATCAGCGCACGGGCAATCCGCTCGTGGATTCCGTCGCGGAGCACCAGCCTGCGAGCAAGCAGGCTTACGAGGTCTACTTGGGCGTAGCGAGGCAGATCGCGGTCTTCGGCCTGCCCCTGTGCTGGCACCAGCGCACGCCCGCGAAGGTGTTCCCGTTCATCTTCGCGGCGGTCGCGTACAACTTCTCGATGAAGATGAGCCGCCTCATGATCATCTGCGGGCCAGCGTGTGGCATGTTGGCTGGGTACCCCATCCCGGCGACTGCAATGGGTGTGGTTACAGCGGGTTGTGGCTTGCGATCTGCGTCGTTGGGGCACGGGGGAGCACCACGTTGCCCTCGTCGGGCCTCCCCCGGGCGTGGCGGAGCACTCTGTCGAGGTCCTCGCCCGTCCCCCGGGGGCGCGCGTTGCAAACCACACTCGGGCGTGTCATCATTGGGGGGCGATATAGACCGGGGCCCCAAAAAGGGGCCCTGAAGGAGCCACCTGGGGGCCAAAAGGGGGACGAACGGTGCGCTTGTCTCCCCCCCTATTTGAGAGGCGTCCCAGGAACGACCTCGCCTTCGAGGATCGAGGGAGTTGCCATCGCTTCCTCGGCGGAAGGGTGGCGGAGGCCCGCGGAAAAAGCGAGGCCGCCTCCAGAGAGGCGGAGAAGCCGGCGGGAGGACGGCGGAAGCGCCGGCAGAAGCAAAGCTCGGCCCCCCAAGAGCTTGCAACCTTTTTTGAAGGGGCCCCAGGACACACAAATAAATACACACAAATAAAAATATCCCCCATATTTTCCCATATTTTCTGGGTTTTTGTCTTCCCCCCCAATTCCCATATTTTCCCATACTTTCCTGGGGCATGACGATTCATTGTGTCTGTGTGTTTTTTTCCCTCCTGATTTTTGGGGCTCAGGGCCTGGGAGCCGCCATTCATCGCCCCCCCACTGAGCAACGCCCAACACACCCTCTGCAAACCGCGCCCCTCGGAGTCGCCAACCCGTCGGCCTCTTCTACGACTGGTGCCTGGAGCAGCTGATCCGCCTGCCCTGCGGCCCGCGGCCACGGCCCGCGGCTGAGAAGCCACCGCCGTTGCGCACCGGAGGCATGGGCTCCATCCTCCGCCTGCTCGCCAGTGTGCCGCAGACGCTGTATGACTCCACGGACATTCCGGGCCTCCCAAGTGGGGGGTCGCAGGATTCCGCCGCATCGCCGATGCTTCGACGATCCGGCGCGGTGTGGAGAGCGAGCTTCTCCACGCCGACAACGCCGATGCACCGCCAATGCATCGCCGATGCATCGGCCATGCATCGGCGATGCGGCGGGATCCTTCGACCCCATCTACTCGGACCCCATCTGGGAGGCCTCGAGACATCGAAGGTAAAAAAAACAGCATATAAGCAAGTCCCGGAGGTCTGCGCGGAGTTCTCGGGTCGGCCCTGTGCACCCCTCGGCGGCACCTCCTGCGCCGCCCCCTTCCCCCCTCCTCCTCCTCCTCCTCCTCCTTCTCCTCCTCCTCCTCCTCCCTCCTCTCCTCCTCTCCTCCTCCTCCTCCTCCTCCTCCTCCTCCCCCTCCTCCTCCTCCTCTTCCTCCCCCTCCTTCCCCCCTGGCGCGCTCCACGCGCCAGGGAGAGGGTCCAGGGCCGAGCGGAGAAATCCGCGCGGACATCCGAGGAATTATGCTTCTGCGTTCTATAGGACATTCCGGCCTTCCTGCGGGAGCAGGATCAGGGCAGCCAAGCGTGCAGGGACAGCGAGATGCTCGTGCCCCCCCCCCCCGCCCCTGGAGACCTGCGGGCAGGGATGGGGGAGGGGGGCGAGGCGAAGGGGGGGAGGAGGAAGACGCAGGCACCCGACGCCATTCCTCTCTCTCAGACCCCCGACGTCATGAATTTTTCATGACGTCGACCCCCAGTGGTCTGGACCCATTCCCCGGGACCAGTTTTTCGTCCTGAGTCGTTTTTGGACGGTCCCGAGGGCCGGCAAGGGCCCCCCGAGGTCAAAAAGAATGAAAAACTTCCCGTCGGGATTTTTTCCTAACTCGAGGGGGTCTGGGCTCACCGCGTGTCGAGGAAACGCAGGGCTGGATCCGCAGCGCGTGGGTGCGCGGCGCGTCCCGTGTCCGTGCCTCGTCGGCGCGCTCCGTCGCCAGAGTCGCCCGGCATTGGCCTCCGGAGGAGGAAGAGGGAGGAGGAGGAGGAGGAGGAGGAGGAGGAGAGGAGGAGAGGAGAGAGGAGGAGGGAGGAGGAGGGGAGGAGGAGGAGGAGGAGGAGGAGGAGGAGGAGGAGGAGAGGAGGAGGAGTGAGGAGGAGGAGGAGGAGAGGAGGAGGGGAGGAGGAGGAGGAGGAGGGATAGGGAGGAGGGGGCGCCCTCCCCGATCCGTGCCCCGCCGCCCACCGCGGCCCCCCCGGCCCCGCCCGAGGGCCCCGATCCGTGCCTTCCCTGCCCAGCTGCGGGGGGGGGCGGGAGCCGGCGCGAACAACAGCGCGCTTGAAGCCTCCCCCCCCCCCCCGCCTCCCCACCCCGAAGTTCGGGTCTTCGGTGATGAGCCTGTTTTCCACCACCACCACCATAAGTTTGGAGGGGGGAAGGAGAGGGACGAAGAGGAGGAGAGAGGAGGAGGAGGATGAGGAGGAGGAGGAGGAGGAGGAGGAGGACCCCCCCCTGCAACTTATGGTGGTGGTGGTGGAAAACACGCCCATCATTCGGGGCTTCGGTCTGGGGCGGCCTGGCACGGCGGCCCACGTCGGCGTGCGATCCCGAGCGGTGGGCCACCCCGGAGGCCCCCGCCCGCGGCCCGCTCGGCGGGCCCCGCTCGGCGGGCCCTCCTCCGCAGGTCCCCCCCGGAGGCCCGCCCGCCGCCTCCCCCGGGGGGTCCGCGCACGGGCCGCCCCGAGGCGCGCCCGCCCGGGGTCTTGGTCGGAGGAGGAGGAGGAGGAGGAGGAGGAGGAGGAGGAGGAGGAGGAGGAGGAGGATGGAGGGAGGTAAGAGGAGAAGGAGGGAGGGAGGAGAGGAGGAGGAAGCAGGAGGAGGAGGAGAGGAGGGGAGGGTCTTGTCGGGTCTTGCCCCGACGCGCCGAGGAAGGGATTGGCCGTTTTCGGTCCGCGAGAGGGCGTCGGGGCCGTTGTTTCTGCGGGTCCAGGTCCGTCGGCTTCGGCCCCAGGCCGTTTTCACGAAAGGGAGGCTTGCTAAAGAGAGGTGTGTCCAAAGCCGATTTGCGGTGTGGGCTCACTGGCTCGGTAGCAGCTCGTGGCGGCCTGGTGTGCCAACTTCATTCTGTCTTTCGCGTCGAGCAGCGTCCGGGAATGGATGAGGTAGCGCCGATGTCGCGTCGATTTAGCGTCGATGTCGCGTCGATGTAGCGCCGATGTAGCGTCGACTTAGCGTCGATTTAGCGTCGATTTAGCGTCGACTAGCGTTGATTCGCAAGAGCCGACAAGATGGTATGGGAGGAACCCACGAGTTTCCACCGAACGTCGGTGCGATCTGGCCAGGAGACGGGTCAGAGGCGGGCAGTCCGGGAGGATTCCGACACCCCCAGAAGGCTCTTGACGAGGCGCGTCTTCGGGAAGCATCTTGTGCCCCGAAAACCTCCACGAGCCGCACCACAGCATTCTTGACCATCCAATGAGCTCCTCTTCCGCCTCCTCCTTTTCCTCCTCCTCCTCCTCCTCCTGCTCCTCCTCCTCCTCCTCCTCCTCCTCCTCCTCCTCCTCCTCCTCCTCCTCCCCTATCCTCCTCCTCTGTATCTATTTTGGCTCAAGTCGCATGCTAGGCCACTGGACCGCACTCTCCGCGCGCTTCGCATGGCGATGGTGGCGAACGCTGCTGGGTCTTTGCCTCGCGCTATGGCTCAGTGGTGCTTCCGAGTGCATGGTGCACGCACGTTCTTGCACGGCGGCATGCGAGAGACGCTGCCGAACTCTCGAACGAGGATTCGTTCAGCACGTGCCTGACGAGTCTCATTGGATCTTGGTACCCACCAGCCTTCATAAAAAAAAACTGCAAGCTATTTATCGTTGTGGGTCTCTGCGTGCCTCTCTGCAAGGTGTCAATGGATTTCGGTCGCATTCTCTTCGGCAAGCTGTTCTGCCTGCTGCAGACCGCCTACGGCAGGTTCGCGTCGTGCCGACCAGTGGCGACCCCACTGCGTGCGTTTAAGGTTGAAAGCCGTCCGTGGCCCAGAATCGGCCCGTCGTTGAAAGATCCGGCGCTAATGGAACGGCCGATCGTACAAGTTTGAACGATCCCCGTGGTGTACGCTGGGGTCGACACGACGCGAACCTGCCGTACCTCCTGAAGCTGTTCTGTCTTTGCTCGAAGTAGTTCACTCACTGAGTGGGCGGGCGAAACCTCGGCTCCCTGTGGCGGTGCCTTCTGCATCGAGGCCCTCTGCTGGGGAGCTCCCCCTAGGTGCGGCAGTCCTTCTTGCGCTGCATCGATTTCTTCCTGCAACTGCTATTCTACATGCTGAAGACCGCTTACATCCTGAAGTTGTCCAGTCTTCGCTCAAGGCTCATTCACGGAGAGGGCGGGCGCGACATCATTTCCTTCTGGCGGCGCCTTCTGCTTCGAGGCCCTCTGCCGGGTCGAAAAAAATTCTTCCTGTGCCTGCCCCGCCTCTCCGCCGGGCTTCTGGTGGTGCCGCTCGTCCCTCCCCGGTGGTCCGCCGCCCAGTGGTGGTGGAGTGTTCACGGCTGGGCGAGCTGATTGCTCCCCCGGGCGCCTGCCGGTGCTCCCCCTCTCCTGCACTTTCCTATGCTCGAAAAAGGGACAACGCCAGAGACCCGAACTTTGGCCGCTCCGCGCGGGCTTCTCGGATCTGCGTGGAGCCCCCCCCCCCCCCCTGGCGGCTCTCCGGCGCCGCCCCCGGCGCGCTCCGCGCGCATTGAGCCTGTTTTTTTTAGGATTTGCATGGCGTTCGGCTCCCCCCCCCGCCCCCCCCCCCTCGCCCCTCTTCAAGCGAATACTAGCGTGCAAGTAAAACGTGCAAGTGTTTGCGGCTTGCTTCAGAGCCCCTCTAGCAAAAAAGACAGGCTCATTCCTGTCTTGGCGCCGCCCGGCTCGGTGTTCTCCGCCCCGTTGGGCTACTTCGAAGCTGCGGGCGTGCAGCAGTTGGCGGAGCCCGTCTCCTTTGTCTCGGCTGCTGCCTCGCTCGTGGCCTCCGCTGTCGCCTGGGGCGTCGACTGTGCGTTCGAGCTGCGGAGGCTCGAGGAGCAGGCTGCTGCCGCTGCTGCTGCTGCTGCTGCTGCTCGGGGTGGCATGCGCGCGGCACTTGGGCGGCGAACCGCCTGCTGACGACGGCGCCCCGCATCGTCCCGCTCGTCTCCCTGGTGTCGACCTCCGCGTTCTCCTCGACCGTGCTCTGAACTCTCACGATGGTGCCCCGCCTGGCCCTGCCCCTCTCACTCTTCAAGGTTCGAGCGGGGCTCGCCGCGGCCCCCCGGCGAGTCCGCACGGTGCTCGTGCGGACCCGCCTGGGCGTGACGGCGCTCCCCCAGCTCCGTGTGCTGCTGGTGGCGCTCCTCGCGCAACGGGCGATGGTGGTTGCCGTCTCGCTCGGGCTCCTCGTTTTCCTCGTTGCGACGATCGTGCAGCTGGCGGTGGCGCCCTGCCTGCTGAAGTGCATCCAGCAGGTGCTGAAGATGATCCTCTAGTTTGCCCCGCCGCCGCAGGTGGCGCCCCAGTGCTTCCTGCTGGTGATCCTCAAGGTTGCCCCGCTGCCGCTGCTGGTGGCGTCTCAGTGCAAGCTGATCGTGATGAATACGATCCCAAAGGTGTGAGTTCGGCTCTCCCTGAGTCTTTTCTATACGTCGATTGGCATTCCAGCCACATGAATGTCCTGGACAAGACGTGCCTCGTGAATTTCACGTTTGTGCTCATGCTCCTCGTGTCCCTGATGATGGCGGAGGTTCTTCTGCTTCTGCGGGGGACGCCCCTAGTGGCGCTGCGCGTGCTTTGGACGCTCGTCCTGGGCATGTGGTTAGGCACCTTCATGTACGTTCGTCTTGGCTGCGCACGCGTTCGGTGAGTGCATGGTGCCGATCGTTCACTACAGTCGCACCTCGGGTTCCTCCCTGGACGCCTACACTACGTGCCTCGAGCCACTCGTACTGCTGCCTCGGCGGTTTCTGGCATACCACGCGCGGCTTCTTTACGTCCTCGTACCTCTGCGTGGCCGTCGGGGCTGGCTCACCAGACAAAGTGTGCAGTCGCCATCTCCGTTTCTGCCCTGACTGAGGCGGACGCCATTTTCAATTACACCACCAGGCAGCATGTCAAGGCCGACATGAAAGTGGGATTTCACAAGAGAGTGATGGCTAGCCCCATTCCATCTCATGGCTGGCAACGCATGCTACAGGCCCTCGTGTACTCCCAGTCGCGCTTCCGACCCGACGCCGCCGCGATCCTCAAGGAGAGGCTTGTTTCTGAGGGATTGTGGCATCGTGCCTGTCCTTGGTTGGCGCCGACCTCGCCGTCTTACCTGCAGAGAGCTGTCGGCATCGAGTGGGACCTCCGCCTGACTGCCGAGCGTTGTGATGTTATCCTGCCGTCCTCCATGGCCGGCGAGATCACGCAGCAGATGGTGGCTGACGCCGTGCGTCCTGGCTGCCCGTCCACATCGCCATCTTCCACCCCTCCTGCAACGCTTTCTGCACGGTCTCGTGCCGCACTGCCCGTCCGCGCGGTCGGCTCCTCCGCGTTCTATTGCTTCTGTTACGACGCCGTCGGCACGGTCTCGCGCCGCGCTACCCGCCCGCGCGGGCGGCCCCTCAGGCTCCAACGGCTCCAACCTCGACAACTTCAACACCGAACTGAGCGGTTCGGCCCGAGGCGCGGCCTAGTCGGCAGGGAGAGACATTCCAGTGGAGCTCGTTCCTCCTCTTCCTCCTCCTCCTCCTCCGCCTCCTCCTCCTCCTCCTCCTCCTCCTCCTCTCTTCTTCTCCTCCCTCACAAACTGGCCGCGGACCTCCTGTGAAGCCTGGTCCGATGAAGGTTTTGGGGGTGAATCCAGCCGTGATGACGAGGGGGCTGAAAACGTCTTCGAAGATCTGGGTCGAGAACGCAAGAACCCAAGCATTCACTGTCACGGGTCTGCGCTTATGCGTTTGAGTATGTGCTGGACCCCCCCGCTTGCCCGCGCGAAAACTTCCAGAGCGCGCCGTTGGCGATCTGGAAGCTTCTGCTTGCATGGACGCTCTGGCTCTCTCCCGAAACGGGAGCTCCGGAGGGAGAGGAGCACGGTCAGGTCTCACCCTCCCGTCGCGCCTGCTCCTGCCGTCATCCCGCACAGGAAGGACTAGCAGAGTTCCAAGGTGGAGGAGTAGGAGGAGGAGGAGGAGGAGGAGGAGGAGGAGGAGCACCCGTCCCCTTTCGGCCCATCCTTTGCCGCGGTCGCTGGCCGCGCCATGGCCTTCCAGGGCCCTTGCATCCTTCTCGTGCGTCCTTGCTGTACGGGTGGATTGCAGCCCCGGACTGAGGAGGAGGAGCAGCAGCAGCAGCAGCATGAGAAGTAGGAGGAGGAGGACGACGACGACGGCCCCGAGAGGAACGCCAGGCCTATGCTGCCCCAGTGCGCGACCGGGTGGTGCGTGCCGCGATCGCCAGCGTCGCCATCGTGTGCAGCCTCCCTGTACTCCTGGCCTACAGGCCCGGAAGACGAGGGCCAGAAGCAGAGGAGGGACCAGGGGAGGGAGGAGGGATGGGTGGCGGAGGAGGAGAAAGGAAGAAGGAAAGATGAAGACAAAGTCGAAGACTGAGAGGAAGAATAGGACTTACTCAAAATGCTGATGATGATAATACAGTCGAAAAGCATATGATGGATGAGCGATGTTCTAAGGTTACCCTGGCATCATTCCCATTCGGCCCATCCTTGCCCGCTTTCGCTGGCTTCGATCCGTTCGCAAACGCCAGTATGGCCCTCCAAGGCCCTTGCACCCTTACCGCGCATCCTTACTACATGGGTTGACTGTAAGAAGGATAGTAATGCACACACATGAGCTACATACACTAACTTCCGTAGCTCCGCGAAGACCTCCCAACGTTTATATAGCCCGTTCCTCCTCTAGATCGAGAGGAGCAGCGGAAAACATATGATGATGCAGGCCATCGCCAACCCAACATGAACCAACGATGTTGCCTAACAACCTCCCGTCCGAAGTCTCCTCATTAGCCCCTACCAGTATATTTGTCTTATTCGAGGCGTTCCAGAAAGGGCCTTGCCTTCGAGGATCGAAGGAGTTGCCATCTCTTCCTCGGCGGAAGTCGGCGGAAGGTCGGCGGAAATAAAACGAGGCCGCCTCCGCTGGCGGAAGCCGGCGGAAGGTTGGCTGCCGGCGTCGGAAGTAGAGGATGCGCCCCAAGAGATGAACTTTTGGGGGGAGGTCAGGGTTTCCGGAAGCCGCCATTTCGCGAAGTGCGCCCCTTGAAAGACAGACGCCCCCGGGGCCCGCAATTCAGGCGACGTCCCAGACTTGACAGCTTCTGCCCGCCGTTCCTCTGAGCTATGATTCAGTCGGGCCTGTCCATCTACAGGAGGAGTATTCCCAAATAGTCAAAATCTAGTCTGGGGACGATGTTATGTCTATTTTTGGCTATTTGGGGCATGTCCTGACCATCTTTCATTTTCCGTCCAGAATCCCCCTGTAGGGGGACATGCCCTCCTCCTCCTCCTCCTCCTCCTCCTCCTCCTCCTCCTCCTCCTCCTCCTCCTCCTCCCTCTCACCTACCACGAGGCGGGGCCGTCATGCCGCAGGACGCGTGCCCAGCGACAGCCCCCGCTGTGAGGAGAGGGGCCCGCCCTCCCGTCGGTGCAGCTCTGCATCGGCTTCGTACCTCGCTGCGCGTGCGGCCCCGGAGCTCGGGGGGAGTCCACGGCGACAGCCGGCGGCGAGCGAGGAGGGGGGGGGGGAAGGGGAAGGAGAACCACAGGAGGAACATGCACCCATACCTCTACCCTTCGGTCGTTTTCCGCTTTTGGGGGCCTCCTGGGAGGCCCTCGTCGCCACCGCTGGCTTCGCCTCGAAATTCTGGTCGGAACGCACCCTGTGAGAGGTCCGGGGGGGTAGCGGTATCGGTCCCTTCTGGTTTCCCCAGGGCGGTTCCCTCTCCTCACAGCGGGGCTGTCGCTGGGACCACGTCCTTCGGCATGATGGCCCCGTCTTGTGTTAGGTCGGGCATGTCCCCCTACAGGTGGATTTCGGATGAGAACTTTAGAATAGTTAAAAAATATTCCCGAATAGCCCAACATAGTGAAACAATCGTCCCCAGACTACCTTTTGACTATTTGGGAATATTCCTCCTGTAGAGGGACAGGTCTCAGAAGGCGGCGGGGCTTCTCAGAAGCCGTCGCGCCTTCCGGGAAGTTTTTGTTCTGGTCTCCGGGGGAAGACTTGGGAAGCGTCTCAGGAGGCCGGGGGACCTCCGAACCTCCCGAGAAGGCCTTCCCCGGCTCGCTTCCCCTCCCCTCGCTCGCCGCCGAGGTGGCTCCCGTTTCAAAGAGGACCCCCTCCCCCCATCTGTGCAGCAGCCGCGTCTGGTCACGGCGAGCCTGCGCGGCCCTCGGGGCGGCAGCCCCGATTTTTCAAGCGAGGGGACGCCCTCCGTCCGTGCAGCGGTCGGGCTCGTCAGGGCCCTTTGTGCGCACGGCGAGGGCCACGCTTGGAGGAGGAGCTGCCTTCTGTCAGTGCAGCTGCCGGGCTTTTGGCGACGAGTGGCGCGGCGCGAACGATCCGTCCTCCATCCCGCGCAGCTGTAGGATCCTGCCCAAGACCAGCGTGCACGACGCCATGGCGAGTGACCCGTTCTGAGATCGACCCGCCATCCATCTGTGCAACTGTCGGCGTTCTCATGCTTCGAGATCGGAAAACGGTCAGGAAGTCTCAGGCTTCCGGGCCCGCTATAATGACAGGTCTGGTGGCGCCACAGGGATGAGTGGTTTGTAAGGAAGGGCGATGGGGAGTGCCTCTTCTTCTCTTCTCCTCTCCTCCTCTCCCTTCTCCCTCTGGAGCCCTTAACATTCCCTAGACTCGCAGAAGTCCTCAGAGCCTTTCAGAGCCTGAAAAGTCCTCCTGCATCCCCCTCCCCGCCTGTTCCTTCTACCTCCTTCCCCTCGTCTCGTCCTCCTTCTCCGCTTCCTTTTCCATCCATCCCTCCAATCGCCTCCGGGAACTGCCGAGAAACAATAATGTCGCCTCATCAAACTTTGCGCCCTCCTTGTCTTACCTTCTCCTACTTCTCCTCCCTCCCTCAGTGGCTCGCGCCTGTTAGTAGTCTCTGTAGGTTGGAGGTTCCTGCCAATGGTTTCATAGACCTTGAACCGTTCGTTCGTGAAGTCGCCTGCATCGTGCGGGCCCAGTTGTGGCGCCGTCTGTCAAACGTCTCAGCGGGGGCGTGGCTGAAGGGGATCCGGACCTCCATTCATGTCCCCAGTGGTTGTTTGCCTTGGATTGGAAGGCCTCCCAGCAGGCCGTTGATTGCGGTGGCCGCGCCCGCAAGTTGGCCCAGAGGTAGAATGCATGAGATGGGCATGGCTTCTGAAGTCAATGCGATTTGTCAGCGCTGCTCTTCCAATGTACCTGATACTGATGTCCATGAACATTGGGAGTGTGCTGCTAACTGGCTGCTTCCAGAATGCTCTGACACCCAGGACTTAGACACCCGTGCCCGCGAGGAGTCAGCGCCTTGCCCTGTGTGTTAGCTTTGCGGTCTCCTGCCAGCGTCGTGGGCCGAGGTGATTCCGGCCAGGCGAGGGGGCTGTGGAGTGGGAGTGGCAGCGTGATGCGGGCGGGGAGGGACTCGCCGTACGAGACCAGTTGGGGGGGGCGGAGGGTACGTCGGGAAGTCCGCACCTGAAAGACCCCTGCTTTCGCCGCTGGACCAGCTGCACTAATGCTTCCGCTTGTCGAGGCCCCACAGGACAAGTAAATGCAAGGCCCTTCGTAATTGGGCGGACCTTGCACTTGATCTCGGGCTCAAGCTATGCTGTCCAACGGGTAAGTCGCCCCCGATGCAAGCGGTCCCACATCAGTCAGGACTCAGGACTTGCAACCCTCGACAAACAAAATCTCAAAATTGGTTGACGCGGCACTTCTGTGTGTTTTCCACCGCGTGTGTGTGTGTGTTTGCTCAACAGTGCGTGTTCGTTGTCCCACAGTCTCCTCAGTGTGTGTGTGTGTGTGTTTCCACAGTTTGTGTGTATTTCCACCGATTGTGTGTGTATGTGTGTGAGTGTGTGAATGTGTATGTGTGTGTGTGTGTCGGGCAGTCGAGTGCGCACGTCCAGCCACATAGGAGCAACTGACCGCGGCCTGTACAGCGGGGGCCCACATGGGCCGCTTAGGGACCTCATGGCAAAACCTGAAGGCACCAGAGCAGACCATCCCCGAAAGATTACCGAAAGCAAACGCCCCAGAAGCAAAGGCACTTCGGCTCCTGCCCACCAAGAAGGTTTCAGAGCGGACCCCAGGAAACTCCCGAGGCTCCACGACGCACCGGCCCAGAGGCCAGCATGCAGGGTCAGGCACTTCGGCCCAGACAATGACCGGTCTACTCTGTAAGAACGGTTTTTTGAAGGCAGATCTGCCTTCAAAAAATCGTTCTTACAGAGTAGAACAACAGTTCACAACCTGACGCAAACGATCAGAAGCTCACCCAAGCCGAGCCTCAATCAGAGGAGCAGGACGGCCGACCCCCACCTCAACGACCCCCGCCTGCTCGCCATGCCTCAGGCCCCCACGGCAGAACCGGAGGCCACAACGTCGGGCGTCGCCACTGGCCAGCTTGCGGAAGCAGCACCACTCCTGCTGCGGCAGCGCTGCCCCTCCAATGCTGGAGCCGCCGGTGCGGGTGTGTGTCTTTGCCACAGAGAGTGTGTGTGTGTGTGTGTGTGTGTGTGTGAGTGTTTTTTCCGCGGACAAGATCTCAAAAGTGGTTGACGCGCCACCTCAGCGTCGCCCCGCTTCACCCCCCTCTCAACGTCGAGGCAGAGCGGGACACGCGGTCTGGGCGGGGCGCGCGATTCTTGGAAGTCCCACAGTGGCCGGCGTTGGAGAGACGGCGCCAACGAGGACCTTGCGCGCAATGCCACCCAAGCCCGTGACATCACATCGACAAGGAAGTTGCATGGGTCGAAGAAGAAAAAACGCCATAAACATAAACTTTAGGCGCCTTCCTCGGATTTCTTGGATTCGCGCTGGGCCCCCCCGGCGGCACCTCTGGCGCCGCCCTTGGCGCGCTCCGCGCGCCAGGGAGGGGGATCCAGCGCAGATCCAAGAAATCCGCGCGGAGCGCCAAAAGTTATGGTTATGCCGTTGTTTCTTCCTCTAATGGGACATTCGGGACGTTCATGTTGCCGAGGGTAATATGGTGAGGCGACCTGGGTTACGAACGAAGTAGAGTCGTACGCGAGTGCGCAGTGTGCCGATGTTTTGGGGGGCATGCCTGCGTTGTGGCAGATGGCCGCTGACTTGGTGGATCGCCGGGCCGAGGCTGCTGCCAACGGGTTCCAGATCTCAGGGGCCGAGGTGGACAACACCCAGAGAGCTGGAGGGTGGCCAACCGTGAGCGTAGGCGACTGGTGCCGGTGATGGCAGAGCATGTGCGTGCTGATCTTCGGGGCCCCCAATGGAGTCGAACGCCTTTCGCCGCGGCCGAGGTTTCCGAAGGCCGCCACTCTGGACATGACCTTGTCTGCCACTGCTCGTGCTATTGCTCGCCACGAGGGACGAAACGGCACGGTCGGTTCCCGCGTTTCGTGCCGTTGTTACCTGTAGAGCCGAGGGGGCTCCCGCATGCGGATTTTGCAGTGGTTGTCTGAGCCGCCCTCTGCTTTTCAGGGCGAGGTGCAGGCCACATGAGTATAAGGCATGCCGCTTGCTACGAGAGGGGCGGCCGGTGCGCTCCGTCCGAGCAGTGCTGCCCGAGGCCTTCGCCAGGCCCCGTGTCTGTTTCTGCGCCACCTGTGTGGGGACTCCGCTCTGCCCGAAGTGCGCGCTTCACTGCTCAATGGTTGGCGGAGCCATGCCGTCATGAGAGCAAGCTGCAGCTCCTGGAGCGTCAGGCCCCCCCCCCCGGGTGCCGCAGGGCTGCCTCCGGAAGCAGCTCCGGGAGCTGCAGGACACTGTCCGCCCACGAGCAGCAAACTGCCCCATCCTTCTCCGCCAGCGTCCTCCAACTATTCCTCTTCCCTGTCTCCCGTCCTCCCCCTCTTCTCCTCTATCTTCCTCACCCTCTTCCTCCCCCCTCCTCCCTCTGTAGGTCCGAATGGGTGCAATACTGCGAGAGATCGTCGCACAGCTTCGCCGGGCCCGGGCTGGTGACCGTGGGGAGGGACAGGACCCTCATCGACGACAAGTACGTGGGATACGAGTGGATCCCCTGCTTCGCTTCTGCCACGAAAACACACAGACACCTTGCAGTGGATTGTTTGGGTGGCGGTGCCTCGATCACCACCACGAGCCGGTAATTTTGTACACCCCGCCACCCTCTGTTGAATGTGCAGGGAACATTCGTCGGCGGGCATTTGTGTACCTACGGTGTGTATATATATATATATATATGAATATGAGCATGTATATATATATATATATGTGCGGACACATCATTTCTCAACGACGGCGTCGTCCACCGAGGCGAGCGCGGGGAGCACGAGGGCTTGGAGCCCCTTCATCCTAGGCCTCCCGGCTGCGATGTCCGAGCAGAGGGGCGTCGGAGGATCGCGCGCGCGGTCGCCGACGCCTCGGCGATGCGGCTCAATGTGGACACCGATGCTCTCCACCGAGGCATCGCCGATGCATCGTCGATGTTTCGCCAGTGCATCGGCAATGCGACGCGAGCCTCCGACCCCATATCATGCTCGGGTCCCATCTGGGAGCCATCTGCTCGGGGGCCCGGGACCTGACCGAGGTCTGCGCGTTTCGGAACTTCCGTTGAAACGCCGACCGCGGCGTTACGCATTTGATCCTGATCGATCGAATTTTGAACTGGCGCCCAGGCTTTCTCTTGAGTTGAACTCCTGGGAGGCTTCAACTCAGCATCGGCGCGGGTATGTCCGCGATCGAACATCGTCATACGCCGCCCTCATCCTGCTCAGCACCGCCTCATCCTACTTGCCTGGCGTAGTGATAGGCTCAATCTGGCCTAGTCTGGCTCAGTGACCTCCCAATCCGGCTTAGTCGTTCATCGTTCCCGCGAAGAGCTCCCCGTAGTTGCCTCCTAATCCACCGCCGAGGGAACCGATGTCCCAAGAACCCAGAAGGCAGTGGACGTGGATGTCTTTGGGCCTTCTTGGTGCCCAGGGATCTCCGCATCCACTGCCTCCAGGGTTTTTGGGACATCGGCTCCCCAGTGGGTCGAATTGTGCGCAGTGGAGACCCATGCCAAGAGACACCCTGCTTGCCTCCAGGGTGCCCTGTGTTTCTTTGGCTTCGCTGGTCTTGCGATGGGAAGCGTGGCGTTCCCCAATCTGTGGACGTCCTGGGGGTTCCCTCCTCCTCTTCCTCCTCCTCTTCCTCCTCCTTCCCCTCCTCCTCCTCCTCCTCTTGGGGTCCTGAGCTTCCTGTGGAATGCTTCTCGTGGTCGAGCTGCTGTAAGCTCTGGCCTCGGACCTCCTTCTCCTTCTCCACCCCCTGCCAAACCTCCCTAGAGAACCACATAACATCAGGAGGGGGCCAAACACACAGACACAACCCATCACCGAGCCCCAGGAAAAGATGGGAAGCTATGACGAGTGGGGGGAAGACGAAAAAACCCAGGCATTGGAAGATATAGGGAATCCTGGGATCTGTGTCCATGTGTCTGTGTGCCCCTGGGCCCCTTCAACAACAACCTGAACATACACCGTCGGAGGTCCCCGTTGCCTTCCTTGTGCCATCGCGCTGGGCCACCCCCCCCCCGCGCCCCACTCACGGAGAGCGCGGAGCGCGCCGGGATCATCGGCGCCGGAGGCGCCGCCCAGGGATGCCCTGGGAGTCTGTCACTCAGCATCGGCGCAGGTATGCCCGCGATCCGAAATTCGTCATACGGCGCGCTCGTCCCGCTCAGCTCAGCTTCATCCCGCCTGCCTGGCGTAGTGATAGGCGTAGTCCGGCCCAGTCCGGCGCAGTACGCTCTGAATCCGGCTTCGCCTCTTCATCGTTCCCACGAAGAGCTCCCCGTACCCTGATCATCGGATACTGGAATTTCCCACTCGCGACCGACGAGATCGGTCGCTACCGATTTTGCTTTAGATTCCGGTATCGGTCGTCGCGACCGATTTTGGGATCGGTCGCGATCGGTCGCGACCGATTCGGAGTGTCGCTCAGTCGCTACCGATCGCGAGCGTAAGTCGGTATCCAGCGATCTTGGTGTGAGGAGGGGGTCCAGCGCGGGCCCGATAGATACGCGCGGACCTCTTAAAGCTATGTTTTGGACGTTCTCTGATGTCCTGGGACACAGATGGACGACAACAGAGGGGTTGGTGAACCTTCCCCTACAGCTGCTGCACAGCACTCGGGATCAACTTACCTCCGAGCTGTTAGAGTTAGGAGCAAAAGCTAGCAATTCAGCGGGGATCCAGCGACCACGAAAAATGATTCTGCGCTGGTCGAGGCCTTTGAGCACCCTCCTGTCCAACGCAGGAGGATGCCCGCAAGAACGTATTTGATGTTCTCCTTCTTCTCAAGTCTCCTTCTCCTCCTGCACCCGCACATGGGCGACGGAAGACAGCCATGACGGGGGCTTCTGCCGTCTTGTCGGGCCTCAGGGCCCTCATGGGGCGATCGCGTCAAGACGGGGTCGAGGGCAAAGTCTGAATGCTCTGACTGTCACTAGATGCTCGTTAGGGGGACCTTCCTGGGGTCCGCCTGACCGATCTGTTCGACCCTATCGCGACCCCAGTTTGATTCAAGTTCGACTCAAGTTCGACTCAAGCTCGACTCAAGTTCGACTCAGGTTCGACTCAGGTTCGAATCAGGGTCGATTCAAATCGACGGCCGTTCGACGCAGCTTCGACTCACGAGTGGAGCGAGTGTCTTCAGGAAGGTCCCCAGAATGAGCATCCAACTGTCACCGAGACCGCGAACATCTGTCTTCCAGGACTTACGCGTTACGCACAGGCAACCCAGCAACGACGGTGCTCAAGAGGCGATTGGCGTCAACAAGGGCGACGAGGTAGCAAGGACGACCATCTCGTTGGCGTCCTGCTCCCTCGAAGACGGAGAACAACCTATAATCACGTCGCTGGTGTGGCCCCAGCCAGTGGGTGAGTGGGTTGGGAATCGGTGGGTGGGACCCGAAGGGCCAGAGGTTAGGGCTCGACGGACGGAGCCGCGTGGGTGTGGCCATCTTGGCGGGGCCCCACGGATAGGACCCTACACGCCGGTCCTTGAAAGTAGGTATTTCTGAATTCCCAGATCCCAGTCAATTTCAAGAGCCTGCATATTTCAATAATCGATATGATTTTATTGTGGTTTGCTATTCTCTGGGGAGGCCTGAACCCAATCTATCTACTTTATCCGTCTTCCTACTTCTTGTTTTAACCTAATTCTTCCGACCGATGTTTGTGGGTGGGAGACCCAGTGGGCGGGGCCCTGTCGCGGGGCCTGCCATTGAGTGGGCAGCGCCCTGCTGCAGCAACCCAGCGTGAGACCTTGTCCTGGGCCCTGGGGCCTTGCGGGACCCTGCCCTGGGATCCCTCCTTTGCGGGGCCCTATTATGGGACTGGGCCCCACTGAGACCCCCTTGCGTGACCCTACCCTGAGGTCCTCCCACTGCGGGGCCCTATCTCAGGAGGGGAAAAAACACACAGACACAATTAATCGTCGATTCCTCAGAAAATATGGGAAAATATGGGAAGTGGGGGGGAAGGCAGAAGCCCCAAAAATATGGGAAACTATGGGGAATCTGTTTATTTGTGTGTATTTATTTGTGTGTCCTGGGGCCCCTTCACTATCATGGGATCCCCTCGTCGGACTCTATCCTGGGGCCCTACCGCGGGACCCGAAGGCTCCACCATAGGGCTTTCCCGGGGGCCCTGTCGCGGTGCCCTTTCGCGGGACTCTCTGGCCACAGCGGGCCCCGATCATGGGATCCTATTATCATCGCGGCACCCGAATGCGGGACCGATGCTGTAGGCATTCTCGTGGGAGCCCCTTCTTGGGCCGTTCTCGCGCGACTCCATCGTGGGCCTCCATGACAAGGCCTTGTCGCAGGGCCCCATCTTGGACCCCATAAGCTACGATTGGGCCTTCCTCTGGATCCAGGCCTGGAGAACCTATCCTGGGACCCTGTCCTGGGGCCCACTGTGGCACCAGTTTGGTGCCCTAACTTGGGACGAGCACCCCATCGAGAGCTGTCGATATCACCAATGTCGGAAAGGGGCCAGGATCCATGACCAGCAAGGGCAACGTGCTGCCCACCTTGAGGGCACCTTTGCGGCAACCGCAGACGGGCACCCCAAAGTCCAGAACCGCCAAGCCAATTCCTAGCAAATCAGAAAAGAGAGCCCACGACAGACAGATCTGCATGAATAGCTGTGTGGAGTATCCCTGACCTGCCGCTGGCCAATCTTACAACGGCGTGCCAGCTCAGCCACGCACACTCCGGCCGCTGGTTCTCAGCCCCTGTCTGAAATGCTGTTCGTTTCGGCCCCGCCGCTGGACGCATTCCTCGATATCGAGGAATTCGCCCGTGTATATACACAGGCGCCTCTGGCGCCAGGAGGCACGCGGAGAGCCCGCCTCGTGAGCTGATTCGTCAACACCCTCTGCGATCCCTCTCCTCTTCCGCCACGGCATGCCCCCCCCCAGGAAAGTCAGCGGCGTGAGCTGATTCTTCAACACCCCCTCTGCGATCCCTCCCCTAGTCCGCCCTGGGGTTGCCAGCCCTCGCACCTCCCCCACACGGCAACGGTTTCGGCGTCGGGTTCGGCGTCGGGTCCGGCGTCGGGTTCGGCGTCAGCTTCGGTGTTGGGCTCGGGCGTCGGGTTCGGCGTCGGGTTCGGCGTCAGCTTCGGCGTCAGCTTCGGCGTTGGGCTTGGGCGTTGGGTTCGTCGTCGGGTAGGGCGTCGGGTAGGGCGTCGGGCTCGGCGTCGGGCTGGGCGTTCGGTTCGGCGTCGGGCTCGGCGTCGGGCTCGGCGTCGGGCTCGGCGTCGGGTTCGGTGTTGGGCTTGGGCGTTGGGCTGGGCGTCGGGCTGGGCGTCGGACTTGGCGTCGGACTTCGCGCCGGGCTGGGCGTCCCGCTCAGTCCGCCACGCCGGCCGCCAGGAGGCACTCTCTCCCGCCGCCGGGCGCCTCGGCGTGCCGGGGCGCTGCGCGCCTTGCGGCAGGGCAGCGGCCCAAGCTGCGCAGCACCGGCGCCGCGTCGCTCGGAGTGCTACCCTGGGTGGGGTGTTGATCGAGGGGTGGGCGACTAACCATCTGAGCTTCTCCTCCTCCTCCTCCTCCTCCTCCTCCTTTTCCTCATCCTTTTCCTCCTCCTCTTGCTCCCTCCTCCTCCTTTTCCTCATCCTTTTCCTCCTCCTCCTCCTCCTCCTTCTCCTCCTCCTCCTCCCTCCTCCTCCTCCTCCTCCTCCTCCTCCTCCTCCTCCTCCTCCTCCTCCTCCTCCTCCCCTCCTCCTCTCCTCCTCCTCCTCCTCCTCCCTCCTCTCCTCCTCCTCCCCTCCTCCTCCTCCTCCTCCTCCTCCTCCTCCCTCCTCCTCCTCCTCCTCCTCTCCTCCTCCTCCCTTTCCCTCTCCATCTCCCTCTTTCTCTCCCTCTCTTCCTCCTCCTCTTCCTCTTCCTCCTCCTTCCTCCTCCTCCCCTCCTCCTCCTCCTCCTTCTCCTCCTCCTCCTCCTCTCCTCCTCCTCCTCCTCCTCCTCCTCCTCCTCCTCCTCCTCCTCCAACCCCCCCTCCACCCGTTCCGACAGCACGTGCCCAACCCCCCCAGCGGATCCAAGGGGGAGCTATGATCGCCCCATCCAGAGTAGGTGCTAGGTGCTTACAGGATGGGTGCCAGGTGGCGCGGTCAAAGGCGCCGCGACTTGCTCGCACGGCGTCGCGTTTTTGTGTTGGTTTGGTTGTTCTCCAGCTTCCGTCGTCCTCGTTCTCGTCGTCGTCCTCATCTTCCTCGTCCTCGTCGTCGTCCTCCTTGTCATTTTTCTCGTCCGACCCAAGACGCCCCATTCCTCCCATTTCAGGGCAGCCACAATGGAGAAGCAAGTTGCGCAATGGAGGAGCATACCATCCATGATAGAGGTTCTAGAACATCCGTGCTGGAGATTTGAATACCCTCTGGGTGCTACTCCGCCTCCTCGTACGCCTCCTCTTCTCAGGTGGCTCATGCACAACACTCCGGAGCACTCCCGCGTCCTCTCCTGGTGGGACTACGGCTACCAGATCACGGGCATCGGTAATCGCACGTCGCTGGCGGATGGAAACACCTGGAACGGAGGGGGATATCACAAGGCGAACGTATGTAGCGTGCCCCGCGTCCTCCTCCGCCTCCTCCTCCTCCTCCTCCTCCTCCTCCTCCTCCTCTTCACTACCATCATCATCACCATCATCATCATCAGCATCAGCATCATCATCAGCATCAGCATCAGCATCGTCATCGTCATCCTCACCATCATCACCATCATCATCATCATCATCATCATCATCATCATCACCATCATCATCATCACCATCATCATCATCATCATCATCATCACCCATGCGTTGTGAAGCTTTGAAGTTGCAGATCTTCCCTGCAGGAACCACGAGCACATCGCGACGATAGGGCGCATTCTCTCGGGCCAGGAGAAGAAGTCCTACAACACCATGCGGCACCTCGCGGATTACGTGCTGGTGCACGCCGGCACAGGCCAGACGAAGACGGACCTCCAGATTTCCACTCACTTCGCCCGCATCGGAAACTCGGTCTTCCCGGACCACTGCGGCGACCAAGATCCCACGTGCACGAAGTACTTCCTCACCCTGACCTCCTTCTCCTTCTGCTCCTCTCTTTTTTTTCTCCCCCAAAGCGTCTCAGACCGAGAATCGAGATGTTTTGATGCTTCTGTCCGGAGGCCCCCTGTAGGGACCTGCAGGGATTCTGACGTGGGTCCTTCAGAGACCGTCGGAGGCTTTCGCCGTGAGGTACAGCTTCCTCGCCGGGGGGCAGCCTTCCAAGATGATGGCCCAGTCTTTCGTCTACAAGGCCGTGAAGCACGGGCAAGATGGAGTGCAGCTCAACCCGAAGTTTTTCAAGGAGGTTCACTCCACCAAACGTGGCATGATCCGAATCTTCCAGGTGCTCAACGTGTCGCAGGAGTCCAAGGACTGGAGGGCCTCCCCCGTCCTTCACCATCGCTTACCTCCTTCTCGCCCTCCTCCTTGTCCTCCTCTTCCGTCCTTTTCCTCATTTCACCTGCTCTTCCTACTTAATTCCCCCTCCAGCTCCGTCAAAACACGACTCAGGACGAAAAACCGGTCCCGGGGTCGGGACTTCCAGGGGCGCCGTCCTGAAAAAATCAGGACGTCGCATGTCTGGGCGCGCGGCTCGAGGCGCGATGCGGTGTGTCCTCGGCCGGCGACGGCTGCGGACGCCCTTCGTCGCATCCAGCCGTCCGCCCCTCGGGCGTCCTCGGGCTGCCGCGCCGGGCAGCGGCTCCCGCCGCGCAGGTGCGGAGCTCGAGGCGCTCTTCCTCCGCCTCGAGGCCGCGCCACAGCGCCGATGGCCTGCCGCAGCTCCCCCGCAGCCAGGGCGGGGTCAGCTCGCGCCCCCTTCCGCCGCGTACGCAATGCGCCCTCGGGGGAGCAGGCCGAGAGGCGCCCTCCTGCAAGGGCGTATGGAGTGTCGGAGCCGGAGTCTCTGGCCAGAGGACCTCCTCCTCAGCCTTCTTCCTGCGGTTCCCGACGTTACCATCTTGCTCGGATGCCCCAGATGCAGATGGACAAAGTGGGTGCTTATCCGGACGATCGAACCTCGCACCGTCCGTTTACACGGAGAGGGCGGCCAGATTCCCTGCTTGGACCGGAGCGGGCCACCAGAGCGCGTGCAGCGCCCGCACCCAGCTAGCCTGCCCCTTCAGCAGCAAAATGTTTGAATCCCTCTGTTTGCTTGCAGCTACTTGGCCCTGCGCGCGAGTGGCCGGAAGTTCCCTGCTGCCCCCCCTTGCGCCGCCATCCGCACCCTGAACAAACTCTGCATGCGCTCACATGCCGCTCCTGCGATGCTCAGACCCTCGGCTCCGCCGAGCACGACTCTGCCCTGCCGTCCAGCGACGACAGCGGCGAGCTACCGCTGACCTCGGCGACGCAGGCAGGGAACACCGGCGAGGGCGTGCTGGTAGCGCTCTGGCGTCCCACTTTCACTTCACGATCCGTACACCTTAGGCGATGCTTAAGAAAACCTAAATTTTCGGCCAGAGTCTCGATTATTCTTAATGTTTCCATGTAAATCCTAAGATTTTGATAGAAATCTTGGGTCTTTGTTCAAGATCTGAGACTATGATTTTCTTAACCCAAGATTTCTTAAGCATTTCGCAAGGTGTACCCCAGGCCTGATGTGTCCTCCTGGGTGGCTCGGCTCCCGCCGCAGGCGGCACCGTCAGCGTTTCAGCCTTCCCGCGCTCTCGCGGGGTCTTCGCCAGGGGACTGACACAGGGAGTTTAGGGGAATCGCCCGCGGGTAGTGCCATCTTTCAGGAGGAGAAAAAACACACAGACACAATTAATCCTCGATTCCCCAGAAAATATGGGAAAATATGGGAAGTGGGGGGGAAGACAGAAACCCAGAAAATATTGGAAAATATGTGGGATATTTTTATTTGTGTGTATTTATTTGTGTGTCCTGGGGCCCCTTCAATCTTCTCCTGCCCCCATCACCGCGGCCCAAAACGGCCACCTGCTTTGTTTCAGGTGTCAGTTTGGAGCCCTTTCGCGAAGCATCCAGCCACGGTCATCCTGGGTTCTCCATCGATGTCCGGTAGAGGACCCAGGAGGGGAGCACGGACAGACGGCACAGATATTCGTGGAGGAGGAGGAGGAGGAATGGGGGGGTCGAGGACGCGCCATGTGTGACATCTGATGGGGCCCACTCCGATGTATCCGAATTGCCTGCCTTCCTCCCTCAATCGCCTCCCCCCGGGCGCACTCCGAACTCCTTTGACCTCTCTCGGACCCCTTTCGTCCTCCGCCACCTCCTCTCAATCCCCCTCCCTCGCTTTCCTCTCCTCCTTCCCGCCTGGGGGCTGCCTCCTCCTTCCTGCACCGCCCCCCACCAGGCGACAGCCGTTGCGACCCCGAGGGCGGAGGGATGGGGAGGAGGAGAGGAGGAGGGGCTCGAGGAGGAGGAGGAGGAGGAGGAGGAGGAGGAGGAGGAGGAAGAGGAGGAGGAGGAGGAGGAGGAGGGAGGAGGAGGAGGAATAGGAATAGGAATAGGAACCACTGGCGATGCCAATCCATACAATGCTACCCTCGGCCTCGCTGGGCCAATTCGGCCTTGCTGAGGACCTTGGGGGGGAGCCCTTCACGAATTCTTCTGAGGTACTCACGGCCTGTTGCTGACAACTTGTTCGTACAAGGCTTAGCAAGCGAACGGACTTGCTTGTCAGCAATGGCCCCACACTTCCCACAGAACCAACAATTCAAAGAGGCGTGCACATTGAGGTGGTGAGATGGATGCAGCCAGCCCCCCCCGACGTGGATCCGCCCTCCGACTGGAGGAGAGTAAATCAGACCATTCACATTCACTAAGCTGTGGCACTCCGAGGCATGCCATTCCTTTAAAGTGTCCAAGGACGCTGAGCCGTGGCACCTCAAGCATCTCTTTCGGCAGTCGGACAGCCGATGTCGAGACAAGAGAGCAGCAACGGCAGCAGCGGAGGGGGGCGGCGGAGGGGGGGGAGGCTGAGGGCCTCCACGCTTTTTCCTTTCACCACTCCGCTCCAGCTGTTTTTCCTTAGCCAGTGCATCCACAGTCGCACGAAGGAGGCGGAGGCGCACCAAACGTGCGCGACGCTCGTGCAGCAACAGACGGTAGCGCTGGTCCTCGGGCACGCGGGCCTGTGCAGCAGCCAGGCCCGCAAGCTCGTCCACAACAGCGTTGCCAAGAATCAACGTACGTATTCCTTGCCCGTTGGCCACCTGAGTGGCCGTCAAATGAGAATGTGTGAAGAGGACTGACACATGGTGAAACGGTCTGTGGGCCATGAGGTCACCGATGGCCGCCCAAAGGTCAGCGTCAGCACCTCTTGGCTGGCGAAACCGTTGTTCGTACCAGCCTGTGACTACATCTGCAAAGTCAGTGACAAATGTGAGGAACTGCGTTGTGGCCCAGAGGGCCAGATACAAACACTTTAATTCACCTCTGGCTACGACCTGCCGCATGCCGCTGAGTGGCCCAAAGATCGAGCCTCGCGGAACGATGGCAGGCTGCAGGCGGGCAAAACACGTGATAGCCAGGCCCACGCGTCGGAGCCTGGGGCTACGGCTGTCGGGCCCTCCGCTCGCGTCGCCAAAGATCAGCACAGGGTCGGAAGGCGACCCTGGGCCAAACAGTCCTGGCTCCAGGTATGGGGCGCCAGTGAACTGCCAGGCGTCCTCTGCAGGCGGTGGGCTCACTTCCGTCCAGGGGGCGGGTAGAAGCCCTCGAAGCCAGAAGGCCTCAGCAGTGTTGCACTGTGTGACGGCCTGCGTGCACAGGTCATCGGAGTCGGTGTACGGCTTGGCGTCCACATTGCACGAGCACTGCCAGTACCTGTGCAGAGGGGTGTCCACCTCGGTGCCGCAGCGGTCGCACTTGTCGGTGCCCGTGTAGTTCTTGAGCTCCTGCTTCTTCCGTTCGTTGTTCCAGATGCCGCCTGACGCCACTAGCACCATGATCTCGCACAACCTTCTGCCGTTGGGGACCTGCGCCAGGTGCCTGAGCAGCTGGATGTATGAGGTGTTGTCGACGCCCTGCTCCAAGCCCCCGCCGCAAAAATGTCGTGCTGCCTGGGTCCAGAGCTGAGCTTCGCAAAACTTACGAATATCTGCTAGCAGGTGATCGTGTCTATCCACATGCGCGTTGCCTGTGTAGATGCTATCAGGAAACTGCCACTCCTCGCTGCTGTCGGGGCCTGTTTGGTAGGACCACGTGGACGGATCATGTGGGGTCCAGCCTAGTCTGAGCAGCGAGTGTATGATGGCCCCCGTCGGGCCTCGGATCTGCCGTACCTGTGCCGGGACGGGTACAGCTTGCATCTGCTTCAAAATGATCGGCCAAGCCTTGCGAACACCTGCTCGGATGTCTGGGCAGTCCCTCCAGATCTTGAGCCAAGTGTCCACCGTCTGCACGGGGTAGAGCACTGCTGGGTCAGCGCCTGGGGCCCGCAGGGCCAGGACCGTGGTGAGGCATCGCCCGCGCGCCGATGAGGCGCATGTCTGAGCCAAGCGTCGTCTGCACCTGGTCAACTGCTCGCCGAAGAGCCCGTGGACCTGGTGGCCGTAGACGCCCGCGGGGAGCCCTCCCTGGCGCTGGAGCTTGGTCATGGCGCTGTACTGGCGGGTGGCTCTGGTGAACCTGCGGATCTTGGTGCTCATGAGGCGATGCTTCGCTTCACGCTGCACCCTGGTGGCTCTCACCCTCCTGCCGCACCCAAAATCGATGCCGAGGTAGGTGGCTTGGGAAACTGGCCGAATCGTAAATCCAGCACGTCGGACTAAGCGGGCAACAGCACGCGCGTCACTCATGAGGCTGCAGACCACGACCGATTTGTCCGCAACCTTGAGCTTCCTCGCCTGTAGCTCGCGGCACGTGGTGATGATGCCACTGGCGAGCTCCAGGCGCACCGCCTTGCTGGATCCCTTGAATGTCTCCGAGACGTCGTCGACCCATAACCTCGCTCCCATTCTCGGATGGGCTGTGGTGACCGTGACCATGACGTGGTGGGTCATCATCTTGGCGAAGCGGGTCCCCGAACGGAGACCCTGCACTACGCTGAGCAGCGGGTCAAACATCACTGACACAGCATTGTCCTGCTCCAGACAACGAGGAGCAGCGCACTGTAACAATTCCAAATATAGGATAACAGGAGGAAACTCTAGCCGCAAAGCTGCGGCGACTAGGATGTCCCACGGGATGCTGTCGTAGAACGTGGCGATGTCGAGCATCCCGTGGCCGTACTTGATGCCCATAGCATGGGCTAGTTCTTCGTCCAGCGCCCTCAGGAAGGCCTCCTGAAGGCATGAGTTGCCTGGCAGGGCGGCGTCCCAGTGGCGAGCACTCTCGGCCGACCAGGTCTGGACCGTGGGTTCGCGCATCAATGACCACAGCCGTCCGAGCATCGATACTAGCCCGATGGCTCGGTCGCCAGCCGTCTTCTTGGGAGTGAGCTTCCCAATGACAGCCAGCGTCTGCGCTGGCCACGCCAGCGTGGCTTCCACAGCCTCCAGGATGAGTAGCAACTCCGCCTGGCCCTCCACGGGGAGCCTCTGGTAGTCAACAGGGGTGACCATGTCGATGCCCATGCCTGCCTTGGCCTTCATACGTGAGGCCGCCTTGCCGATGTCGGCCACGTGCAGCGACGGTAAGGGGTCGTCGCTGGCACGGAGCCTGATCTGCCTGAAGAGTTCGCGCACGTCCTGCAACTTGGGCGCCGTCGGGGCCCATAGCTGCTGGTACTTCTGCGCCTTCGCGTCCATGAGGTCCTCCTTCACCGACGAGGAGGAGGAGGAGGGGGAGGAGGAGGAGGAGGGGAAAAGTAGGAGAGGGAGGAGGAGGGGACGAAGAGTGCCATCTGATCGGGACACCTACCTCCCCCCTCTCCGCACGTGCCGTCCAGACTGCCCTCCTCGTTCAGCGCCTCCCCCGGCGCACCCCGAACTCCGAGAGTCTCTCAAGGAGCCCCATTCCCCCTCCGCCTTCTCCTCCTCTCCGCCCCTCTCCCCCGTGTTCCCCTCATCCCTCCCCGCCTGGGGGGCTGCCTCCTCCTACATGCACACTTCCGCGGGCCAGCTCTCGGGCCACTAGCCGATGGCACGCGCCCGTGTCGCGTGTGCCAACTGATCCGCCTACCGCCGAACAGCCCAAACGCGGCGAAAAGTAAGTTACCAACAGCACGCAGTTTCGTACATATGTACCATCTGATTCGGCATGTTCGCCAGTAACTGCCGAGCGCATGCCAACTATTTTGGACAGGGTCCTACGCCTAGTGGGCGTTACCCCGCGTACCTCTCTATCGGCGGCCACCTCTCTGGGTCACACTTGCCATTACTTCCATCCCTCGTGCAGTCAGCATGCCTGCTGCGAGCGACGCGAAGCTTTCTGGCGACGTACTAGGTGGCGCGGTGAACCCACCCCACCGTCTAGTGGTACCCCTTCGGTGGCGGCATGTGCACCGTTCGCAGCCGCCAGCTTGTGTCGGGGCTCATGTTGCGAGCACTGGTACCGCTCTAGCCTGCATGCGATAGTGGAGGCTTCGACGTCAGCGTACCCCACACCCTCCACAAGGGAGGCACGAGCAGCAGCACTTCTGATCCGTTTGGCATTGAGGGCGCGCCCACGTTCCTGCACCCTCATCTTTTCAATTCGCTCCGTGACGGCGTCGTGTCGTGACTTTTCAGCGGCGTCCTCGTTCACGTCGGATTGCATTCCGATGCTGGGCAACCCCAGCCGCGGAACATGGGTTTTCTGAGATTCATAGCCTCATCCCTTTCCAGCCGCGTTCCCTCATTTTCCTCCAACCCACCCACTCACCACCCACCCGTCTTCTTCCCGGAGGAGGAGGAGGAAGAGGAGGAAGAGGAGGAGGAGGAGGAGGAGAAGGAGGAAGAGGAGGAGGAGGAGGAGGAGGGGAGGAGGAGGAGGAGGAGGAGGAGGATCTCTCTCCTCCACCCTTGCCCCCCTGTCGCGCACGCTCGCTTGCTTTCTTGGCTGGGCCAGGCCTCCCCGTCCCCCGCCCCCTCCTTGCCCACATTGCAACCTCCTCATCCTCCCTCCTGCTCCGCAATGCTCCTCGACCTGCTCCTCCCCCCTCTCCTCCTCATCCTCCTCCTCATCCTCCTCCCTCCACGGAACGCCGACGAACATCTCATAGTTTGCTCTCCTCCACACCGCCTCTTCGTCCTCCCCCTTGCTGTGCCTCCCTATGTTCCTCCCCAGCCTCTTCATCCTCCTCCTCCTCCTCCTCTTCCTCCCCCGTCCCTGTTTCTGTTCCTTCTCCTTCTCCTCTTCCCCATTCCTCCTCCCGACACGCTTCTCTTCCGAATGATCATTCCGATCCTATTTTGTTCGCCGTCCCTCAGAGGACTGGGTGGCGAACCCCGCGAATAGGAAGTGCGACGCGCCCGGGAGCTGGTACTGCGTGGGGCAGTACCCCCCGGCGCTGGCCCCCCTGATCGCGCTGCGCAAGGATTTCGCCCAGCTCGAGGACGTCCACAGTGGGGAGGAGGAGGAGGAGGAGGAGGAGGAGGAGGAGGAGGAGGAGGAGGAGGGAGCTGAAGAGGATGAAAGGAGGAGGAGCGAAGAGACGGAGCGTGGAAGAACGAGCAACGAGCAGCGAGGAGCGAGGAGGAGGAGGAGGATGAGTGAGGAGGAGGACCTTGACGGGGAGGAGGGGAAGCGAGGATCGAGGAGGGGCGCGGAGCGAGAAGGCGAAGGACGAGCAGGAGGGAGGAGGAAGAGGCCGTCGAAAGGGCGCCGCCTCCTCCTCGGTTGTGCTCCAGTGGTGTCAGGAAGGAGGAGGAGGAGGAGGAGGAGGAGGAGGAGGAGGAGGAGAGGCGAGGATCGAGATCTTGTGTCGTGTATACATCATTGCGGTTCTCCAGGGGCTTCAATTGGTGTTCAAGAAACTTACAGAATCCCATTGAGAATTCTGCAGAGGTATGAGGAGGAAATGATGGAACAGAAGGCGTACTGCATTGTGTCACGGTTGCCGCATGTGTTCGCGAGGTCTCCATTCAGTTATTGCATGGCTTCGGCGGCGTTGGGGAGATTCCCGAAGGGGAAGTCGAGGGATGGGGAGTTGATGGAGGAGCAGGAGGAGGACGATGAGGATGAGGAGCAGGAGGAAGGTTTGGAGGATGAGAAGGAGGAGGAGGAAGAGGGGAGGTGGGCTCCAGGGGGGTCCGCACGGTAGGGGTCGGATGGTATTTACGTTCGCAGGTTCTCAGGAGGACGAGGACGATGGTGCTGTAGGATTTAGGGGGCCAGCTGGATGGAGAAGATGGAAAGGATGTGGATTCATAATGAATAGACGCAGTAGGAGGAGGAGGAGGCGGAGGAGGAGCTCGAGGACTTCAACAAGAAGGGGGAGAAAAGCGCGTACACGAAGATGATAGAGGAGCGGCAGAAGAAGGGCCAGTCGGAGCTATGAGCTGGCCAGACCGTTGACGCCTTGGGGCCTTGGTATCTTCCTGCTCATCACCACGTCGCTTCTCCGCCTCCTTCGGGGCGCTGGCCTCCCCGCCTCGTCGTTCTCATCCCCCCCGTCTCTGTTCGACCTTCCAGCTTCTGTTGTTCCTTCTCCTCCTCCTCCTCCTCCTCCTCCTCCACGTTCCCTTCCCCTCCTTGTTCCTCGTGCTCCCTGTTCTTCATCCACCTGTTCGTCCTGCTCGTTCTCATGTTCCTCCGTCGCTTCCTAGTCCTTCTTCTCGCCCTCGGCCCAAACACGCCCACTCCTCACCCTCTTGCTCCTGCACGCTCCCTCGTTCCCCTCTTCCTGCCTCCCGGGCTTCTCCCCCTCATGTCCTTCGCCGCTCCGCCTCACCCTCTACCTTCTCCTGCTCCCCACCCCATCCTCCTGCTTGTGTTCCTCCCCCTCCACTGCTTTCCCATATTTCTCTCATCCCCCTCCTCCTTGTCCTCCCCCCTCTGCTCGTCCGCTAACCCCGTGCCCTTCCGCAGCCCCCTCCCCTCGCACCCTCGCTTGCCCTGCCCCTTCCCACCTCCCTCCCAGGATACGCGGGCGCCCGCGCATGTATTGCGATTTCTGTTGGTTGTTTGTTCATGTTGTGTGTCTCTCTCTCTCTCTCTCGCTTGTCTCATTCGCTGTTTGTTTACGGTCGGGCCGAGGTATAAGATCGAGCTCGGTTCGGGGAGGGTACCCTAATGCTCTTCGTGTTGGCTGGATGTTCTTCTGCATCCTGTGGGAAGCACCCTCCAATGTTCTTCACTTGTGGCCGGTGGAGCGTCTCATGTTCTTGAAGGATGTTATACTGTCCGAGGTCCGGTTGTACTTTCTCTCTCTCTCTCCCTCTCACTCTCCCCCACTCTCACTTGTCGTGCGGTCTCTCTCGCTTGCTCTCGCTTTCTCGTTCTGTCGCCCTCGCTTTCTCTCTCTCTCTCTGTACATGTTGTTTGTTTCTCTCTCTCTCTCGCTCTATCTATTTATGTATCTATATATATATAAATCTATTCCTTTGTTTACATGTGGGTTGTCTGCCTCGGGATGTCAGGGAGGGCCGTCTCCTTAAATGTCTGTGCTCAAGCTTGAACAGGCCCACACCCACGCACGCAGCGCTCTCCCCCTGTCTTGGCTACTGTTCTCAGATCACTGTATCCTACCCCTCCCGCTGCCCATTGGGGCCACGGGCCTGTCGTGGCCGAGCTGCCCGGCGACTTGCCCTCGCTTGGCGTGTGCGGCGTGCCCCGGCTATCCTGGTGCCCCGGCCTTCGTGCTGGCGAGTGCCCGGCGAACGAGACGTAGGCCCAGCCATCCGGTGTGTGATGGCCCTGGCCGCCGTGTGCAGCTTCGTGCTCATCAGCCTGAGCAGCGGGGCCACCCGCCGCCTCACCCCGATCGTGAATCCGATCGGGCCTCTGAGGCTCGTCATATCGACGAGGACTACTCGGGCCAGACCGTCAGCATCACCGCGGCCCGTCGCTGTCCTGACCGCGATCGGCCTCCTGGCATCACGGCGGCGGCCAATTACCGCTGCAGGCGGGCCCCGACAGCTGTGACGGAGGTCGCCTTCGGCACGGCGGGCGACGCCTACATGGCGACGGTGCTCACGTCCGAGGCGGCCGCTGCCGGACAGGCCACTGCAGCCCCGGCTGCCGGGGGCCATGGTGCCCCTCGCCGCGGGAGACGGCCCCACTGGCGTGCCCGCAGTCGCTGGTGCCGCGCCCGGCGGCCAGATCGCGGCTGCGGCCGGAGCGGCGCCGCCGGCGCCCGCGGCGGGAGTCGTTGGCGCGGCCACCGCCCAGTGGGTCGATGCCGAGAGCACGGCTTTCGCCAACCGTGGTGATCCAGTCTCGCCCCTGTCGAGTATCATCGTGCACGACGATCTCGCCATCAAGCAGGCGCCCGACAGACTCAGCACCGTGGTCAAGAACGTCCAGTCCTTGGACACAGCGGAGTACACGGCCCTGGAGGCGATGCGGGACCCTCACTACTTGGACGGCTCGGCCTTCTTCATGGCCCGGCCTCGCCATCGCTGGAGCGACGTGTGCATGGAGCTCGTGAAGGCCGCCTATGTCTGGTGGGCGGTTCCCGGGCCCCGAGTGGTGAAGTGGTGTGCAGAGTGGCTCGACCTGTGTTCGTCTGCACCCGTGGTGCCCCACCTGCCGCTCATGAGCGTGATCGGGCTGAAGCCGTTTTCGTGGGGGGTGGAGCTCCACGGCACTGCCCTGCACGTGTTGGGGGAGGCGGCCGACTACGACAGTATGAACATTTGCGATTCGGTGGGCATCGAGTCGCTCCTGCGCCAGGCTCAGCTCTCGGAGTTTGTCTACAGGATGGACTCCATGGGGGCTACCGAGAAGGTCGGGAGGGACGAGACTCCCCGTGCCTCGACAGTCACGTTCGTCGGCCTCATGGATGAGGTGACCATCTTCTCCGGCATCAACAAGAGCACGGGCTCGACCGTGGTGTGTCCAGCGTCCCTGGATCATGTGGTTCGTGCGGTGAGCAAGGATGCCGCGATTTTGAAACCAGTTCGGAAAGCCAAGGAGGAGCGCGCGGCGCTCCTCATGAAGCAATGATGATGCAGCACGGCCCAGGTGAAGCCTCTAGCCTGGTGCCAGATCCAGAGGCCGTCCCCCGCGGCGAGACGCGGCTTCCTTCTGAGGGCGTGATGCCGAGCGATGCCTGTGCTGATCGGCAGCGCGACCTTCTCCCTCTTCCTCTCTCCTGCTTGCGCGAGTCGGGTCTCGACTCGTCAGTTTTTTCTCGGCCGACTCGACGTCGCCACCTCCGTCAGGCCCACTCTGCTCGCTTCGCGGAGTCGGCTGCGTCGAGTCTGAATCAACTTTTCACAGGAGGGCCCCCGAGGGTGGGTCTTGTTCTCCCAGTGCGGCTCAGCTGGAGGCCTGTCGTCTCATTCGCCGTGCGTTGGATCGCTTAGGGCCCCCTCCCCCATGGCTCTCCGGCGCGGGAGCACTTAGTGAGCTCTGCGCCCGGCGCTCATACGGTGGTGAGCCGGCCACCCTGGCGCCGATCGGCCCAGACAATGTCTGCCTCCTGGACCTCCCTTCCCCTGGTAGTCTCCCGAAGCCTCTAGGTGAATTGCTTGGTCCCGAGGGTGAAACCTTGGTCGAAAAGCTAGACAGCAAGATTTTTCCTGAGCGCCTTGCGCGCGAAAAGATGGCCCGTGATGGCCTCTCTCGACCCTATACGGACCCTGCTCTCAGGCGCTCTCCCCGTCTGTATGCCTCGGTCCTAAAGCGGCTCCGAGAGGCCGGCCTGGTGGTGTGGGGGGTAGAATGCAAAGCGTCGGTTGGGATCTTCGCCGTGCATAAGAAGTCAGGGAAGCTTCGAGTTATTATTGACGGTCGTATCTCGAGTTGCTGGTTCGACGACTCCGATGCCGCGCACTTGGCGAGTGGGTCCTCGTTCGCGCCCTTCCAGGTTGACTCTCAGGACCCTATCTGTGTCGGCGGCGTCGATGTGGCCAACGCTTTTTACAACGTTGCCCTGCCTAAGGGTCTCCAGGAGTTCTTCGGTCTTCCACGGATCCGTGCTGGACAGGTTGGAGTCTCGGAGGTGAATGGGGCCCTGGTGGCCCCGAATACCTACATCGCCCCCCTCTTCACCGCGACCCCTATGGGTTGGAAGCTCTCATCGTGGCTGATGCAACGTACCCTGGAGATCCTCTCGAGGCGGGCCCCGGGCATCGAGGAGGCGAATGCCCTGTTCGACGGGCGCCCGGCCCCGCCCTTGACGCCGCTGATCCACGCAGAGTGCGTGGATAACTTTGTCGCTTTCAGTCAGTGCCAGCGGGCCGCCGGAGATGCTGCCCGCGCAGTCTCCTCGGAGCTCACGCGAGCCCGCTTGCCCGTGCACCCGGTCGGATGACTCGGCCGAGGTCGGGGTTAACCCGGCTACTCGCTGGAAGCTTCGTCTCGGGTTTCAGGAGTTTGCCCGTCGAAAGTATGCTTCAGGAAAGACTGTCGAGATCCTCGTGTCCCACTTTACCACCCGGGCCCTGATTAGGCGCGAGCTCTTGTGCGTGTTCAACGCCGCCTACTCGTTTATAGAACATGCTGGTGACTCCGCGGTGCCACTCTGGTCCTCGGTGGAAAGAGAATTCACGTGGGCCAGCCACCTCGTCGTCCTTGCCTCGCGTGACCTGTCTGCTCCATGGGCTTCGGAGGCATCAGTTGTGGACGCTTCTAGTTGGGGTATGGGTGCGTGCGTCCAGGACCTGGGCCCCCGCGTCGTCGCGGACTTCGGCAAGCTCAACGAACGCTGGAGGTTCACACGGGATGAAGAAAAGGGTTGGTGTCCCCGGGATTCCGCGTTGTTGGCCGCCCGCCTTGGGGGCTACCACGCCCCCCCTGCCTCGTCGCCGCGGCCGGACTCGTCTCTGCCTGGTGGCGGGTCCTCACGGGATCCGCGCGCGTTCTGGAACGACTGTTCCGGGGAGGCTCCCCTTGAGCATTCTGTGGGTCATCTTGCGGAGCGCCCGCCTGACTCGTCGCCCGCGTCGGATTCGCTTCCTGATGCCTTCCCCTCGGTCCCGCCCTCGGTCTGGGATGGGGCCAGTTGAGCGGAAGATCGGGACAAATCGGAACCAGAGATTATGGGAGAGCTCCTAAGACAAATAGAACGCCGAATTGTGGAGCGCAGCGCGCGCATTCGCAGAAGTTCCCCAAGGACTTCTCGAGGGCTTGAGGAGCCCAAGTAACACATGGGCGCTTAATTAAATTGTTGAGGGCGGGCAGAAAAGCTGGTAGCTGGTGCGCACGAGCATTGGGAGCGGGTGCACGGCTTGTACGGGGGGCACAGTAGGCTTGCGTTTCAGGGACTTGGGCGCCGGCCGATGCGTTGATGGGGGGCCCGAGAGCGCGTCGCACATATTACGCCTGTGGCGCCATGGAGGCCGCATGTGCGGTT